AAATACTGCAACAAATCTAGAGCTGGAAAACAGCCTTGATAAAACTTGTGTCAAGGTTGGAATTAAAAGATAGAAATGCAGTGTACAGCAGGTTTAATCAGGTTAACACTTGTTAAGTGTTGCCAGCAGTGGAGGCTCCAGGTGCTTCACAGATTTTTGGATTTGGGGTGTTATTCTGTGATTCCAGCCATGATTCCCTGCGTTGTCCATTAAAAATGTGGGAATTTTGCAGCCTTAAATTCAGGAGCTCCTTGTTTATTTTATTGCTAATAAACTTATGAGTGATTTGGAGTTTTGAGGTGGGTAAAAATAGAGAAGACAAACCAACCCTGCTGAAATAAATGTTTTCTCACTGCTCTCAGGTACAATCCATGTCCAACAGCTTTATTGATTCACCTCCCTTTCCTCAAGTTGCTTTTTCCATGGCTTTTGCTCAGTCTGTCACAGCTCCTGTGCTGAGACAGTGGGTGGCACAGGGATTGGGTGGCACAGGGATTAGGTGGCACAGGAATTTGGTGGCACAGGGATTGGGTGGCACGGAGATTTGGTGGCAAAGAAATTGAGTGGCACAGAGATTTGGTGGCACAGGGATTGGGTGGCACAGGGATTGGGTGGCACAAGGATTTGGTGGCACCTGGGAGTGTTTCTTGCTGCTGTTCTGCCTCTCACAGCGCTCTGGTTCACAGGTTTGGGTTGGAAGGGACCTCAAATCCCATCCAGTGCCACCCCTGCCATGGACAGGGACACTTCCACTGTGCCAGGCTGCTCCCAGCCTGGCCATGGACACTTCCAGGGACCCAGGGGCTGCTCTAGGAATTCTTTTTCCTCCCAAGGAAGAGAGGGATCAGAATTGTGGATGTTGTGTCTCTTTGCCCACTGCCAAGTCCCAGAAGCTGCAGTGTGAGGACTTCCCTGTTCCCCAGCAGTTTCCAGGCTCAGTCCTTATCTCCTGCACGTCAGCTGCAAATGGAATTCAGTGACCTGCTCGTTTAGATCTGCCTACACTTATTTAAGCCGGTTTTTAGTCATTTTCCTCTCCTGTACCTTGTGAAAGTGAGTCCCTTGTAAAAGCAGCAGATCAATTCTCCTTTTAAATGTCAGCATTGTTGTATTCACCAGCGAGGCAGCTGGAACCTTCTGGGTTGTTGCTTTATTTATTTACTCTTTTATTCCAAGGGCTCAGCTTTTTTCCTTTTGTCAGATTGTGTTTGTGTACGACTTTTTTTTTTTATCTCAAGTTATGACCCACCACGTTGTTTTCTTTTAACCTTTCTCACTTGTGTGTTCATGTTTTCATATCTGCTGTTGAAATTCAGAACAGACTGGTTTCCCAGCCAGAAAGGATTTGGTTTTCTAGTAAAATAATTAATAATTGAGGAAGAATTTTTTCCTTTTGAGGGTAGTGAGGCCCTGGCACAAGTTGCCCAGAAAAGCTGTGGATTCCTCATCCCTGGAAGTGTCCAAGGCCAGGCTGGATGGGGCTTGGAGCAGCCTGGGATAGTGGAAAGTGTCCCTGCCCATGGGAACTGGGTGATCTTTAATGTCCCTTCCAACCCAAACCATTCCATGATTTTTTGATTCTAGCATTATTTTGGGTTTTTTTCTCCCTCTCCCTGAAAAAAAAAATCCTCTAACTGAGACTTTTCCCTTTATCTCTGCTCACTTCCAGGCTTGTGGGGGTTCAGCAGAACCTTTGAGGGAATAAATAGATTTCACTGTAAGCAGATTGGAAAACTTTGGCTGAAGTCAGAAAAGAAAGAATTTTGACAAATACCTTGTTAGCACTTAGGTTGTTGTTGTTGTAAAATGCTGAATTAAACCCTTCCAAATTGCCTGTTACACTAAGCAAGTGTTTAGCTGTGTTTTCTTTTTAAGGCAATTAAGCCCTGCTATAAACTGCCTGTGACCTTTAAACAAGCTGCCTAATGGTGCTGGTGCCACGGTTATTTTCTATAAACTTGCAATTTTTAGCTTATACAAAGCACGGCTCTTTTTTTAAGGCCTATTTCATCTCTATTTCCTAAAGGCTCTTTGCTTATTGTAGGTACTAATAAGCAGAGAGAGATAAGAAGATTGGAACATCAGCAATTGCTATCAGATCATCTAAGCCAAATTCTCTGCTAATCCAGGCCAATATTTTAATTAGTGTTTGACTAAATTACAGTTATTGTGTGTTCATGAGCAGCTTTCAATGAGAGAGCTGAAAATTCAAGAATTAAAGGAGGTGCTGGTGGGGACTGCCCATTCTTTTGGTACAATTTGCTCATTGTAAAGCAGTTTTTTTTTCACAAGAATAACAACTTGTTTATTGTTGATTCCTTTTCCAGCTGCTCTGTGTTGCTGTGGCTCCTCTCTGCACCCCAGCCCCTGCCAAAAAATTAATGTGGGGGAGCTCTCTTACCTGTAATTATCTTTTGTGTCCAGCTAGTCTAGCACAATGCCACGATCCCCCTGCAGAAAAACAAACAAAAATCACTTTATTTCCATTCAACTGAGCTGTGTGTGTAGAAAAAAAGAGCAAGGAAGGAGCATCAGCTGCTTTTTCTGGGCCTTGAACCACTTGTAGCCCTTCTGTACATCTCATTTCCAGGTTTTCTTGGGCTGCTTTTCCATTCTCATTAATGACTGGAGTATTGAAGAAAAACTTTTCCTCTCTCTATCCAATTCCACATCTTTTAGTCCTTTTGGATGCAGCCAGCAGGTGATGGGAGTGTTAAAAACTAGGGAGAGCTGGTTGGCATCTCTTGCATAATCCAAATTTTGGTGTGTGAGGAGCTGAGTGGGGGCATCAAGTCAAAAAAGTTTCTTCTAAAGTTCCACTGTTGATCTGCCTTCAGTGTAGATTTAATTTTGTGCATTTTTTTAATTGATGTTTTTGCTTCCTTTTGGTTGTTTATGCTTTTCTGAGCTGGTTTATCCAGCACACAAAAGTTTTAATCTCATTTTTTAAAATTCTGGAATATAATCTTGGGTGCTGCTTCATTGCCAGGAGACCTAAATCATCTTTTTGTAAGCAAAACTGCAGAAAGGAAAAATGTTTGGTTTGGTTTTTAGCATAATATTTATATTTGTTGCCATCTAAACCAACTGGAGACCTTCCTTTGACTTCCATGAACATGAGTATTATAAATGGTTGAATATTCCATTTTTTTATTTTTAAAATATGTCCCTGAGAGCTGGATTTTGGCCTTAATATTTTTTTGTGAGCAATTAACTCATTAGGAACTGGCAAGACAAAACCAGAGCTGAGTGGAAAGTTTAAATTCCCATTCAGATAAAACTTTTCCTGGATGTCTTGGAATTTTTTTTCAATCACTTTGCTCTGGATTTCACTTCTTTTCTGGCTGCTTTTTCATCTCTCAGTTTCTCAGTATGACAAGTGTTGCTCCTGCTCCTTGCTCGGGTGGGATTTTTGGATCAGCTCCCAAGGCCTTGGAGCTCCTCTGAAGCAATTTGGGGTGGTTCAGGTGCCTTTGGAATGGGGAAATTTGGGGAAATAATGTTCCACCTGCCAGAGGAAAAAGAGAGGAATTAACATTTCCACTTCTGCCAGTTTCCCACGTGGTGTCTGCTGAGCTGCTCCACTTGTGTGAGTTCTGCCACCTCCTCTGGGGAAAAGGAAATTTGGATTTTCCCTCATCTTCGAGGTGGTTTTGTGATCTGTGATGGCCAAACTTCCCCAACAGCTCTGCCACCTCCTCTGGGCAGAAGGAAATTGGGATTTTCCTTCATCTTTGGGGTGGTTTTCTCATCTGTGATGGCCAAACTTCCCCAATTGTTCCCGGATGGATACTGGGAAAGAAAAAGGGTGGACAGTGTTGTGTGGCAAATGAGGAGATTTAAAAATGAATATAAAAAGCCTGGCTGTCCCATGAATATTCCAGGTTTTTCCTGGGCTGGGAGGCCAGCACAGGAATGCACAGGTGATGGATGTTCTTTCTTTCAGCAGAGTTAATATTTACTGGTACTGAGGGAGCAGCCCAGGCTGGGCTGGCTGCTCACTGTATCTTTGCTTTTAATTTTTAATGTTTGGCTGACAGGTTTGTTCTGAACTGAGATCCTGAAGCGCAAGCAAATGTCTTATTTCACTGACAGCATCCTCAGTTAGCAGGGAATGGGTTTTTAAATTTTATTTTAAGCCTCTGCATGCCAAACATGCTCTTTCCAGTTCCTTACAACATCAGCACTGAAGGTTTGGAAGCTGCAGAGGGATGCCATCATTTATTTATTAGTAACTGGAAATCTCTGTTAAATAGAAAACCAACTGGGAGGGATGCACAGTGAGAGTTGCTTTTAAGCACTGATTCATTATTCCTGGTGGGTTTTGTCTGTGTTTGGGTTTTGTCCACCTTTATTTTTAGGATAGAAAAGGAAATGAGGAAATTTTAATGCCCATGGGATGTCAGCTGCTTATTATTTCTATAAAATTAATAATATTATTTCTATTAAATATTCTAATGGTGTAGCCCAGGACATAACCCTTGTGTAGCCTAAAAGATGAGGCCTCCTAAGCTTTTTCACTCATGACTTTAAGCAAATTAAATTTAAGCCATTTTCTCCCTATTTGTAGAATTTGGAATAATGGGGTTTTTTTGGTGTTTCTGTAATGGAAAGAATAACAACCATCAAACACCATTGTCACTATCTTCTTCTAACACTTCTCTATTTAATAATCCTCTTATTTGGGGATAAACCATGCTTTGATTTTTATTAAAGAACTGTGTTTTCACTAACTTGTTTTATACATATGCTTAATATTTGAAGGCTGCGCATTAAATCCGAGTTATTTGGGTGTTGGACCCTTCTACATAATTTGGGAATAGAAATGAAGAAATATTGCTTCAAGATTTCCTGCTTGAGAAGGATTTTAAGGATAGAATCATCCTGGGATTCAGACACTCCCCTAATCCAAGAGAGGAATTGCAAAATTGAATTAATTGATGGCGAGAGTTGAACGAATCGATGTCTAAAAATTGTCCCATTTCCCCCCACCCCACCAGGTGTCAGCAGTGGATTCCCTGGAGGGTCCCCTCCTGCAGGTGGAGGGGCTGAGTGACCTGAGGCTGGAGCTGCACAGCAAGAAGATGAACCTGCACCTGGTGCTGATCGACGAGCTGCACCGGCACCTCTACATCAAATCCACCAACCGCGTGGGGCAGCGCGGCAAGGACAGAGCCAGGCTGGGGTGGGACAGTGCCACCTTCTCACTTCCTTTTTCTGTCTGCCAGAATTGAGATTGTC